GTATACTAACACATATATATGGAATTTAGAAAGATGGTAATGATAATCCTATATGCAAAACAGAAAAAGAGACACAGGTGTACAGAATAGACATTTGGACTCTGTGGAAGAAGGCGAGGGTGGGATGTTTCAAGAGAACAGCATCGAAACACGTGTATTATCTAGGGTGAAACAGATCACAAGCCCAGGTTGGATGCATGAGACAAGTGCTCGGGCCTGGTGCACTGGGAAGACCCAGAGGGAGCGGGTAGAGTGGGAGGTGGGAGGGGGGATCTGGATGGGGAATACATGTAAATCCATGGCTGATTCATGTCAATGTATGACAAAAACCACTACAATATTGTAAAGTAATTAGACTCCAACTAATAAAAATAAATGAAAAAATACCCCACAGAAATTGATGTATAAGTCAAACCCCACTTTATTCACTTATAGTGAGAAATAACTGTAAAGCAGTCTATAACACTTCATGTCAACTTGTTAGCAAATTACCTCCCCATAGCAAAATATATGGGGGAAAGTAATTAATATTAGAATATATTTCAGACCATGGAGTCAGAGCAAGGTGTGTTAGGTGACAATCTTAATGGCTAATGGCACAAATTTCAATGACCTGGTGACTCTACCCCTTGTAAATGGACCTGCCAAATCATCTTATCAACATACCCTCTCTGACTCTGGACAAATTAGTGATGCCCTCAGTTCAGTTCAGTTCAGTCGCTCAGTCATGACCAACTCTTTGTGACCCCATGAATCACTGCATGCCAGGCCTCCCTGTCCATCACAATCTCCCAGAGTTTACTCAAACTCATGCCCATCGAGTCGGTGATGCCATCCAGCCATCTCATCCTCTGTCGTCCCCTTCTCCTCCTGCCCCCAATCCCTCCCAGCATCAGGGTCTTTTCCAACGAGTCAACTCTTCGCATGAGGTGGCCAAAGTATTGGAGTTTCAAATTCAGCATCAGTCCTTCCAATGAACACCCAGGACTTACCTCCTTCAGGATGGACTGGTTGGATCTCCTTGCAGTCCAAGGGACTCTCAAGAGTCTTCTCCAACACCACAGGTCAAAATCATCAATTCTTCGGCACTCAGCTTTCTTCACAGTCCAACTGTCACTTCCATACATGACCACTGGAAAAACCATAGCCTTGACCAGACGGACCTTTGTTGGAAAAGTAATGTCTCTGCTTTTTAATATGCTATCTAGGTTGGTCATAACTTTCTTTCCAAGGAAAAAGCATCTTTTTATTTCATGGCTGCAATCACCATCTGTATTGATTTTGGAGCCCAAAAAAATAGTCTGACACTGTTTCCACTGTCTCTCCATCTATTTCCCATGAGGTGACGGGACCAGATGCTATGATCTTCGTTTTCTGAATGTCAAACTTTAAGCCAATTTTTTCACTCTCCTCTTTCACTTTCATCAAGAGGCTTTTTAGTTCCTCTTCACTTTCTTCCATAAGGGTGGTGTCATCTCCATATCTGAGGCTATTGATATTTCTCCTGGCAATCTTGATTCCAGCTTGTGCTTCTTTCAGCCCAGCATTTCTAATGATGTACCCTGCCTATAAGTTAAATAAGCAGGGTGACAATATACAGCCTTGACGTGCTCCTTTTCCTATTTGGAACCAGTCTGTTGTTCCATGTCCAGTTCTAACTGTTGCTTCCTGACCTGCATACAGGTTTCTCAAGAGGCAGGTCAGGTGGTCTGGTATTCCCATCTCCTTCAGAATTTTCCACAGTTTATTGTGATCCCAAAAATTGAAGGCTTTGGCGTAGTCAATAAAGCAGAAATAGATGTTTTTCTGGAACTCTCTTGCTTTTTCGATGATCCAGCAGATTTTGGCAATTTGATCTCTTGTTTCTCTGCCTTTTCTAAAACCAGCTTGAACATCTGGAAGTTCTCAGTTCACGTATTGCTGAAGCCTGGCTTGGAGAATTTTGGTGATAGTGATGCCCTATGACTCTTTAATTGCTCCCTCTCACTTCTAAATCCCAAGAAAGCCATTCTCTTGTTAACAATTTCTTCTTCAGTCTTGCAAAATCTATCCTATCCTTCTTGCTGGCGTCAATCATGTAACAGATCTAGTCCCCTAAAACTACAACCTTGATTTAACTGGAGGATTCCCCAAGCCTTTGAAACTTCAGACTGCATCTTTGAGTAAGGTACATGTCATTTGTTCTCCGTAGATTTTACTTAGCTTCACTGAGAAATTCATTTAGGTATAGGACTCATCCATGTAACTCTCTTTATGCTAAGTAATTAATTCATTCTAATAGAAGAGACTGCTGTCAGTATAACAACATGTTGAAGTGGTAAACAAAATGGCTTCTAGCTAGTAGGCAATAAAGCATTGTCCAAGCATCATATTGATACACTCAGTCTGGCTGTTGGATAGCATCACATAGAGAACAAGAAGTCCCTGATTGGGAATTTCTCAACAAGTGGCTTCTAGAAGTCTGAGGTGAACTGAACTTCATAGCCCATGTTTAATTGTCTGTTCTAAGAGGTGATGAAATCTAGGGAAGAAGGTAATGTTGCTGCAGAGGGAAACTCTTCTAAATAAAATAAAGTGCATGTGTGTTAGTCATTTCACTCATCTCCAACACCATGCGACCCCACGGACTGTAGCCCACCATGCTCCCTTGTACATGGACTCTTCCAGGCCAGAGTACTGGAATGGGTTGCCTTTTTCTACTCTAGGTGATCATCCCAACCCAGGGATCAAACCCATGTCTCTTGTGTCTCCTGCACTGACAGTTGGGTTATATTCCACTAGCACCACCTGAGAAGCCCATATAAAATAAAGTGACATTTTCATATGTTAAGAGCACAAGTACATAAAGAGTCACTTCAGTTTAGTAGCTCAGTCATGTCTGACTCTTTGCGATCCCATGGACTGCAGCACACCAGGCTTCCCTGTCCATCGCCAACTCCTTGAGCTTACTCAAACTCATGTCCATTTCATTGGTGATGCCATCCAACCATTTCATCCTCTGTTGTCCCCTTCTTCTGCCTTCAATCTTTCCCAGCATCAGGGTCTTTTCCAATGAGTAGTTCTTCACATTAGGTGGCCAAAGTATTGGAGTTTCAGCTTCAGCATCAGTGCTTCCAATGAATATTCAGGACTGATTTCCTGTAGAATTGAATGGTTGGATATCCTTGCAGTCCAAGAGAGTTTCCAGAGTCTTCTCCAACACACAGTTCAAAATCCACACAGCATCAATCCTTTGGTGCTCAGCTTTCTTTATAGTCCAACTCTCACATCCATACATGACTGCTAGAAAAACTGTAACTTTGATAGGACAGACCTTTGTCAGCAAAGTAATGTCTCTGCTTTTTAATATGGTGTCTAGGTCAGTCATAGCTTTTCTTCCAAGGAGAAAATTAAATTTTCTTTTAATTTCATAGCTTCAGTCACCATCTGCAATGATTTTTGAGCCCCCAAAATAAAGTCTGTCACTGTTTCCATTGTTTCCCCATTTATTTTCCATGAAGTGATGGAACCAGATGCCATGATCTTAGTTTCCTGAATGTTGAGCTTTAAGCCAACTTTTTCACTCTCCTCTTTCACTTTTATCAAGAGGCTCTTTAGTTCTTCTTCGCTTTCTGCCATAAGGGTGGTGTCATCTGCATATCTGAGATTATTGATATTTCTCCTGGCAATCTTGATTCCAGTTTGTGCTTCATCTAGCTCAGCATTTCACATGATGTACTCTGCATATAAATTAAATAAGCAGGGTGACAATATACAACCTTGATGTACCCCTTCACCGATTTGGAACCAGTCTTTTGTTCCATGTCCCATTCTAACTGTTGCTTCTTGACCTGCATACAGATTTCTCAGGAGGCAGGTCAGATGGTCTGGTATTCCCATCTCTTTAAGAATTTTTCACAGTTTGTTGCACTCCACACAGACAAAGGCTTTGGTATAGTCAATAAAGAAAAAGTAGATCTTTTTCTAAAAATCTCTTACTTTTTTAACGACCCAACAGATGTTGGCGATTTGATTTCTGGTTCCTCTGCCTTTTCTATAACCAGCTTGAACATCTGGAAGTTCTCGGTTCATGTACTGTTGAAGCCTGGCTTCAGAATTTTGAACATTACTTTGCTAGCATGTGAGATGAGTGCAATTGTGCAGTAGTTTGAGGATTCTTTGGCATTGCCTTTCTTAGGGATTGGAATGAAAACTGACCTTTTCCAGTCCTGTGGCCACTGCTGAATTTTCCATATTTTCTGGCATATTGAGTGCAGTACTTTCACAGCATCATCTTTTAGGGTTTGAAATAGCTCAACTGGAATTCCATCACTGTCACTAGCTTTGTTTGCAGAGATGCTTCCTAAAGCAAACTAGACTTTACATTCCAGGACGTCTGGCTCTAGGTGAGTGATCACACCATCATGGTTACCTAGGTCATGAAGACCTTTTTTGTATAGTTCTTCTGTGTATTCTTGCCACCCCTTCACTCATCTTCGCATGAAATGTTCCCGTGGTATCTCTAACTTTCTTGAAGAGATCTCTAGTCTTTCTCATTCTGTTGTTTTCCTCTATTTCTTTGCATTGATGAGGAGTACAAAAATGATAAAATGTTTCTATTTTTTAGTTGCTTATGGAATGCAACCAGGACTTCAGCCAAGAGTCCTAAACCTCCAGGAAATAGGATACAGAACAGTGAGCATGAGGGTGAAAGGCTTCAGCCCAACTGTAGATACAAAGACTTGGGCCAACAAACTCAAGCCAAGATTCTATTATCTATTGGTGCTAATAGGATTTTCCAATGCATTGCCAGGATGGTTTCCATTGGCTTAGACTAGGCAGAGTTTTGCCTGTGGGTTTTTCAGTTCTGTTGGAAAATTAGTACCAGCTGCAGAAAATTCCTGGAAATTGTTTTCATCATTGCTGGATCAGGTTTATTGATGGTAGTTGAAATTCTCAGAAGCATGAATTTATGACTTTCTGTAAAGTGGCATCACAGTTCCCCACCTCTATTTGAAACATTAATGCATGATATAAATCAGTAAGGCTGGAGGTGAAAGGGGTAAACTGACAGTGTGACTTGCCTGGGCTCCTCTTACTGATGAGTTGGGTTATTTATTCTTGCTGGGGCTCAAGAAGTTTTGGCAAGTCAATCTATTGTGAAGTGACCAGTCTACCTGCAGTAGAGGCATGCCTGAATTTCTTGCTGGTGAGCTTGTTTGGCTGGAGTAAGAGTTGGCTGGCTTCCTCACAGCTGTATAGGGTCTTCCTTGGGTGATGGACCTGTGGGGTTGAAGAAGGCTTGGTGGTGGATTCACAGAGATAAGCTTGGGATCTGGACCTCTGAATGTAGGAGCTTTGGCTGGTCACTACGTTTCCAACTGAATACACTGAGTGATAAAGTCTGGGAGATTGTCCAACGTCAGGACCACTTACTTCATCCTGAATGTTGTCAGATAGTTCTTCTTGGACGTGATGACTCTGATTGGATTCATCATATCTCAGATTCTGAGCAAGGAGGTGGAACATAGTGGCATTATGCTGAGAGAAGTTGTCCTATTTATTGTCCAACCTTAGTATTCACCAGAGGGTTCCCTTTCTGTTTTGTGGGCTCACCAAATGACTGCTGGAACGCAAGAAGGAAGCTCTCATACTACTTCAACAGAGTACTCTGGTAGGTGGTGTTTCTGCATAATTGTCTATTGTATCTTCCACAATCAAGTGGGACTAGGCAGAAGTGAGTACCAGTACTGGATACCAGTGGGCAGACAGTGGTTTTACTCCATGAGCAAAGCGATGGCTTCATGAGCAAGTAGCAAATCTGTTAGTTATGAGGTCACTAAAGTATGCTGAGATCTGAGAAATGCTTAAAACTGTTACCACCATTCAATGCTGCAACTTCTTCATGGAGAATGCCAATATTCTGCACATTCTAAAGGAATAAGTTACCTTAGGGACACATAGAAGATTTGGAATTAAGAATATAAATACAAATTTTGAAATTATTTGTTCTAGGTCTGTGAAAATACTGTTGGTATCTTGGTAAGGATTGCATTGACTCTATAGATTGTTTTTGGGTAATATATTCATTAGGGTAATATAATCATTTTCACTATATTGATTCTTCTTATCAATGAACATGGTATATTTCTTCATCTATTTGTGTCATCTTTGATTTCTTTCATCAGTGTTTTATAGTTTTCCATATATAGCTCTGTTGTTTCTTTAGGCAGATTTATTCCTAAGTATTTTATGCTTTTCATCACAATGGTGAATGGGATTGTTTAACACAAAAACCTCAAATAGCCAAAGAAATCTTAAGAAGAATGGAACTGGAGGAATCAACCTGCCTGATTTCAGACTATACTACAAAGCTACAGTCATCAAGACAGTATGGTACTGGCACAAAGACAGAACTATAGATCAATGGAACAAAATAGAAAGCCCAGAGATAAATCTACATGCCTATGGATACCTTATCTTTGACAGAGAAGGCAAAAATATACAATGGAGAAAAGACAATCTCTTTAACAAGTGGTGATGGGAAAACTGGTCAACCACCTGTAAAAGAATGAAACTAGAACATTTTCTAAAACTATACACAAAAATAAACTCAAAATGGATTAAAGATCTAAATGTAAGACCAGAAACTATACAACTCCTAGGGGAAAACATAGGCAAAACACTGATGTAAATCACAACAAGATCCTCTATGACCCACCTCCAAGAGTAATGGAAATAAAAGCAAAAATAAACAAATGGGACCTAATTAAACTTAAAAGCCTTTGCAGAATGAAGGAAACTATAAGCAAGGTGAAAAGACAGCCTTCAGAATGGGAGAAAATAATAGCAAAAAAAGCAACTGACAAAGAATTAATCTCAAAAATATACAAGCAGCTCATGTAGCTTGATACCAGAACAATAAATGACCCAATCAAAAAATGGGCCAAAGGACTAAACAGACATTTCTCCAAAACAAGACATACAGATGGCTAACAAACACATGAAAAGATGCTCAACATCACTCATTATCAGAGAAATGCAAATCAAAAACACAATGAGTACCATCTCATGCTGGTCAGAATGGCTGCTATCAAAGAGCCTACAAGCAATAAATGCTGGAGAGGGTGTGGAGAAAAGGGAACCCTCTTACGCTGTTGGTGGGAATGCAAACTAGTACAGCCACTATGGAGAACAGTGTGGAGATTCCTTAAAAAACTGGAAATAGAACTGTGATACAACCCAGCAATCTCACTGCTGGGCATACACACCCAGGAAACCAGAATTGAAAGAGACATGTGTACCCCAAAGTTCATCACAGCACTGTTTACTATAGCTAGGGCATGGAAGCAATCAGATGTCCACAGGCAGACAAATGGATAAGAAAATTGTGGTACATATACACAATGGAATATTACTCAGCTAATGAAAATGACACATCTGAGTCAATTTGATGAGGTGGATGAAACTGGAACCTATTATTCAGACTGATGCAAGAAAGAAAAACACCAATACAGTATATTAACGCATATATATGGAATTTAGAAAGATGGTAACAATGACCCTATATGCGAGACATCAGAAGAGACACAGATGTAAAGAATAAACTTTAGGACTCTGTGGGAGAAGGCGAGGGTGGGATAATTTGAGAGAATAGCATTGAAACATGCATATTACCATATGTGAAATAGATGACAAGTCCAAGTTCCATGCATGAAACAGGGCACTTAAAGCAAGTGCACTGGGACTACCCAGAGGGATGGGATGGGGAGTGAGGTAGGAGGGGGGGTTGGGATAGGGAGACACATGTACACCTGTGGTTTATTCATGTCAATGTATGGCAAAAACCACTACAATATTGTAAAGTAATTAGCCTCCAATTATAATAAATAGATTAATTTTAAGAAGAATATAAATACAAAGTTATAGTAGATCGCTTTCTCCACTCCCTTTCTTGGTAATATATGTGCATTTTGCCCTATGTTAACCTTTGATTCTAGTTTCTTTATCAGAGAGTGAGACACTCAAACAATTTTAGTGATCTAAATATCACAATCCAAAGTGATCTTACAAATTATCCAGGCCAAATTTGTAGTTTCACAGAGGAGAAAAACAGAGACCCAGAGATGAAAAATGTTTACCCAAGGTCACACGACTAGTTAATATCAGAGGTGGCATGTTCAGCAGGACTGCTGTCCAAAATAGCACTTCCTCCAGGACTACAAATGTGCTTACACTATTTTGACATAATGATGGTTCTTTGCCCTTGCTACACCAAAACCTATTAGGGAACCGGCAGTTTTGGCATCACCAGGGGGGTTGTTGTAAATATAGTCTCTAAAGCCCAATCCCAGAACTACTGGATCAGTACTCCGTTTTAACAAGGTTTTCCAGGTGATTTGAATGTTCACTGAAGTTTGAGAAGTGCTGTTCTAGAGAATACTTTGACAGAATTGGAATACTTACTGGTTGAACTTGATCCTCAGTGCTCCAATCATAGCCTGCAGTGCTATGGGGATCTTATTGCTGTGGTGGTGGTTAATGTATTTTTTCTGTGTCTGAGGAGATAATTAAAATATCACAGGCAAGATGAAGAGGTGATATTGAGAACCTCAGAGATAAGAACAGAATATTTTTAAAGTATAAAGTTCATAATGTTCAGTCTTCCCTGCAAAAGTAACAAAAATAAAGAATCTAGGAAAAGTTTAAAACGAACCTCAAATATATTGTATATTGGTTGAACTATTATGTTACACATTTAATTCCTCTTATTGTCCTTTCTTTGTGCAGTGAGTGAAGTGAAGTCGCTGAGTCATGTCTGACTCTTTGCGATCCTGTGGACTGTAGCCTACTTGTCTCCTCCATCCATGGGATTCTCCAGGCAAGAAAAATGGAATGGGTTGCCATTTCCTTCTCCAGGGGATCTTCCCGACCCAGGGATTGAACCCGGGTCTCCCGCATTGCAGGGTCTTCCTGACCCAGGGATCGAACCCAAGTCTCCCGCATTGCAGGCAGATGCTTTAACCTCTGAGCCACCAGGGAAGCCCTTCTTTGTGCAGTAAAGCATTTAAATTGACCCTCACTGGGCAAAAGAAGTGTATATCACTGAATGTAAGATTTGATTCCCTAGGTTTTATATGATGGTACCTCCTCTCTAGACCTATGGAAGATATTATTGGAAGACTGAAATAGGGTAAGATTGGGGGCTAGAAATTAACCCAAACACTGTCAGCTGGATTATATGAAGAACTCGTTTGCTTCTCAATTTTCTCTTTTATGTAATAAGGATGACTATCTTGTCTCTCTCAAAAGGCTGTTGTGAGTATCAATGAATCAATAAAGAGGTGCTCAGAGTATCAACAAAAAATGAGTGATTTGTTTCCAAGATTGTTCCAATGCAGCTGAACAATTCCAATGATGAGACTCTACCCTCATTTCATACTACCAAAGTAGGAAGATATTGTCATACACCCTTTCTTCTTTTCCATATCTCACCTACCTATTTTTCTATTCACCTTTCAGGCATCTTTCACTTTCCAGGGCCCATCCCTAAGTTTATTTCTACCAACACAGCTAGGTGTCAACTGATATCAGATGTTAAATAATTACTGAAGGCTAATTTTTGGCCTTTGCAAAGACATGCAATTTTTTCCCTCAAAATTTAATGTTTATAAGAATCTGCTTGGTCCCGGTCTCTAGAAATTTTGATTCAGTAAGTCTGGAGTGGATACCAGTTGACTAGCAGATTTCTTTTGCTGGTGGTCCTTGTGCGAAAAGCCAGACACACAAACATTACGGAATAAACATATATTAGTTGCATCTCTGAGAAATAGGGATGGGGTGGTGACATTTGGAGGTAGGAGTTTGACCCTGAAATGACACAGAATAGATGGAAAGTTCTTCTACCTCCATAATAGAGCCCACAAAGAGCCCACACTGTCCTTAGCAACTATTCATGTCTGCCAGGTAGTAGAGAGCAAGAGTTCAGCATGGAGGTTCTAGAATCATACTGATCCGGGTCCAAACCCTGGCTCGGCAAAAAGCTGTGTGACTCTGGACAAGTTATTTAAGCTTTGTGAGAATCAGTTACAAAC